CAAGTGAACATTTAGCTACACATAGATACCAAGAATGCAAGATGGAGGCTGTTTGGTGTGTTTTCGTTCTGTAGTCGTGTGAAATGAAGCGAGCGTCGAGCAAATTTTGCGATCACGCTTTCCTACCTGCTCTCTTATTCATGTTGTTTGTGCACAGGGCGGGCGTGCGGTGTACTTGTGTGTTGCAGATAAGCATTTGAATGGCATTTACGGGTAATTATCGGCAATAATAGGCGAAATAGAGTAGAGAAACATTAAAGACTTTGGTAGTAAATACATTTCGTGTTTACATTTGTTATTTTATTGAGACGTTCCAAGTGCCTGTGCCTGTGGCTGTGATCGGTCGGTCTATACTTGACCGTGTGCCACAGGCACAGTCGCACACAGTAATGTCAGTATAATTTATTATTGTAAATCTAATGATGTGCGTAAATTAAATACAATACACGTATGCTGTCTGTGTAGAGTGCATAGGTAGAGCTGAGAGTGAGAGTGATAACTTAGCCCAGTGTAAAACTGCCGTGAATGATTCATTTAAGTGGATTTATAGTGATTAATTAAGATAAGTTATAGCCCTCCACTCGTTTTTTCACAGTGCATGTATTTCTATTTGTATTTTTTAATTTGAGTTACTTGCAATAAAGATTTAATAATAATAATAATAATAACTTGAAAACTTGACATGAAGTACAATGCTAGTTTAATGCTTGGATAACTTATTTTTACTTTAATATATCTGTACTAATAAACGCCGGGGTAAATGCAAGTTTGACTTGATGTGGCGTGGGTGTGAAGTGATCCTGTGACATGGGATGAGATGTGATGTGTGAAATGTGATGCATTATATTTTCAAACACCTATCATATAGTATCCATAATGCTAGTCTAATGCAATAATAGTATTATGGTTCCTTGATTATATGTATTTGTAGGCAAATCAAAGAGAATTCTTATTATTAATATTATAATCTTTATTGCGTGTAATTCAAGTACAAATACATGTACTGAAGACAGTCCTTTTCATGGAGAAAAAATCTAATAGATGCAATAGTGCCTTTAGTCATGTTACATTCGTCAGAACAACACACTGTACATATTTTGTTTTATGTATTTATAAACATTAATGTCTCGTGTTATATTTGTGTCTTGTTGTCAAGTTGCAGATAAACTTTTGTCTTGTTGGTATAAGGTAAATGTTAAATCAAGTACCATTATAACACGTAAGGCAAATGTGCACACAATCGTGATAATTTGGTATAAAATACATCTTTATTTACTCTGGTTGTCATAAGTAGGCTTTCCGTATTAAGGTTGCCATTACAACAATATCCTAAGCTCTGTGATGCACTAAGGAAAATAAATGCACATGTTAGGTATATAATTTTATTATCTAATTATGATTAAATATAGTGGCTGGCTGCTACTTGAGGACATGTTTGTGATCAGCTGAGATAATATATCATGGGCAAGTTGGAGTTTCCCCATGATGAGCCTTGGGTAAATTTGAATATTGCTTAATATTAAAGCGTAAATATCACAAATGATCTGTTCTATGGGACAGTGAAAGTCAAGTGATGAGTGATACGTCTAAGTGATAATTTGTCCCCAGATTAATAGAACTTTAAGCTTGCCCATAATCTTGGGCAGTAGTGTTAAAATATTAGTATTTGGTAAATATCACACACTTATAACTACAGGCATATAGATGCCCTTGGCTGTGCCTTCAATATAGTGCCTGAGAAAACATGTCTTATGGTACATTTTCTAGATCTGTAGCCGAGTCATTGAATCAGGTACTGTCGATGCAGCAACCAATGCTAAAACCATGGCAGCAACATTGCCTCCGTTACCAGGCAATGCCTGGTAAATTCTGCATAGTCAGGGCTTAAGCTGCCTTTCGCTAATTCGCCAAATGCGAATTAAAGTTGAATTTGGCAAAAAATGTCATTAATTCGCCAAAAAGTTAGAGCTAATTAGGGTTTTCAGGCTGAACTCTACGTTGCAATGGTCCGCCCACCTGTACTTGTGGCACCAGAATCCCCAGTTGCTCCTGTTAAGACGTTCTGTATTCTACCACGTATGCGTCCAACCGGAACGTTGTTCCTGCCTACTAAATTCTGTCCAATGGTCCGCCCACCTGTACCTGTGGCACCAGAATCCCCAGTTCCTCTCCTTCTGTTTAGGACGTTCTGTATTTGCCCACGTATGCCTGTAGTAATGTCGGCAAACGGAACGTTGTTCCTGCCCAGTAAGTTCTGTCCAATGGTCCGCCCACCTGTACTTGTGGCACCAGAATCCCCAGTTGCTCCTGTTAAGATGTTCTGTATTCTACCACGTATGCGTCCACCCGGAACGTTGTTCCTGCCTACTAAATTCTGTCCAATGGTCTGTCTACCTGTAATGGTGGTTTTTCTGCGAATGGCAGCAAGGGGCTGTGGGATTCTTTCTCGGAAAATCTGTCCAGTGGTACTTACATCTGTAGATGGAGTATCAACGTTGTCTCTGTTCCTGTTCAAGAATCCAAGTATGCCTGGAAAAATGTTATTAATATTTGTGTTTCTGCCTTGTAAATTCTGTCCAATGATGCCAAAGTTGCCACGAGTGGCACGAAGGGGTTGTCTATTACCCGTATTTGTGGCATCAGCGTTGTCTCTGTTCCTCCCAAAGAGATTCCGTTGCAAGATACCTCCACCCGTATTTGTGGCATCAGCGTTGTCTCTGTTCCTCCCAAAGAGGTTCCGTT